TATCTGTGACATTGTGGTGATGCATAATGTCCTGACTCTAATGACTCACAAATTAGTATTTGTATATTTCTGTACTTCAGGCACAATCTGTAACTGAATATATCTTCAGTCATTTTATATGTTTCATCATAGATATTGCATAGAACATATAGAATCAGCTGATGATATGCATTGCATCAGCTCAAGAGCTTTTTCTTTAAATTCTAGTAAATTTAATTAATCAGACTGCATCCTGAGTTTTTTTACCTCTCACAGAAAATACTGAAATAATCTGCAAAGATGTATAAATGCCTGTAGGTTGCCCATCCTGAACTTACACCTGAGACCTGGCCTGATACCCTAACCCAGCTGTCAGTGACAGGTACACTTGTTTTAATTAGGTTTATTCACAAAATCACCTGTTGCATGGATTTACTAAAGAATTCCTAGTGAAGACTGGAAAAATACTGATCTGTACTTATTTTACAATATGTACAGTACACATGTAATATACACTGTATTAGTGTATTACACAAGCATCAGGAATCAGTATGACTGTTAGTAGGTCCCCGAGTTTCAGTTCCTGGAAAACAACATTCGGAATTTTATATATTTAATATAAACAACACCACCTTATATTACAACATTAACTCCACTAGAAATGGCTTAGAAGTGAGTTAGAAATCACCTAACACTTTTAAACAAATCAATGCATTTAATACCTCATAGTTGTAATATGGCTGGTTAATAACTCCTGCTATTGCTTTGCCTCCATAAGCAATTCCAATAAGAACCGTCACATGGTCAAGGAGACCTGTACAGAAATAATATGAATGTAGTTATGCTTGAAAAAGAGAAAGTACATATAAAATAAACCTTCCATAAAAGTCCACAAATTGATAGGCAGAGTGGTATCTTTAAAGGGCAAACACTAATCAGGATCTTCAGGTGCAATAGGTTGGTTCATACAATTTTTTTTAGCCATTTAGCTTTGAGGTCTGCAAAAAAAAAAAAAAAAAGCCCCAGATAGAATCCTCTTAATAGAATTATGTTATAATTAACACATAATGAGAAAGAAGTTTAAAGATACAACTAAATAGCAGTATATGATGACATTCTTCTATAACTGTGGTGTGAATTCTTTAATAGAATGCAAAACTAGCAATTTGTTGACAGTTGTACATCTCTTTCCC